GGATGAATGATTGATGGATGGATGAAGGATGGGTGGATGATTGATTGATTGACGGATGGATGAAGGATGGGTGGATGATTGGTGGATGGTGGGTGGATGAATGATGAATAGGTGATGGATGGTGGATGGATGGATGGAGGATGGGTGGATGATTGATGGATGGTGGATGAATAGGTGATGGATGGTGGATGGATGTTTAATCACTCTAAACATAACTAATGTCCCCTTCATCAAATGTCCAAACCCAGTCTGTGTCAAAGTGAAGCGTCATGACTTCAACACATTTCGTGTTTTAACAATTTGAGAAGAAAAGGAAAAATACGTATTTTAATTTTGCAATTATTATTACATAGTTGGACCCCGAAAAAACAAAAAGGAAGTAAAACCAGTTTCAACTGTGATGGGAGATGAGATGTGACTCAGCTGTTCTTCCACTTTATGCAGTGATTGATTTCAGAGACAGACGTCCATCTATCTGTTTGTTAGGTTGAGGAGAAACAGCGTGCGTCCGTCGCCTTCACCAAGCTGCTGGTTGCGATGGAAACGCTGAGCTTCTCAGCCGGCGAGCAGAAGGCCATATGGCACGTTCTGGCTGGTATTTACCATCTGGGAGCCGCCGGGGCCTGTAAAGGTAACGCCGCTTCATCATCGTCCCTCACACACACTGTTAACTAACCCTCTGCACATACACACACTCACACACACACACGGGTTAGTCTTGCTGTGCTAGTGGGGACCAGCATTCACATAATGTGTTACGAGGACCTAACACTAAACCTGATGTCCTTACAGGGCTGAGACGTCCTCACTGAGACTGAATTTAGTCCTCACATAGATGGCAATACAAAGAGAAATTTAAAGTGAGATGGGTGCTCTTTCTCATAAATAAAAGATTTAAAAAAATTACATTTACAGTAATAAAAATGAAATAAAAGTAAATGGTAAAATACAACATAAGAAATCAGTTGTAAATAAGGTAAATAATTATTAATTTTTTTTCTTTCTTTCTTACGTTTATTGTTGTCTCATTATTATTATCATTTAACATATATTTTAATTGATTTCACTTTTCTATATCTCGTGGATCCTCTTGCAGGTGTACAGTTATTTATCTGTTCGAGCATCATTGCATCATTTGCCCTTTAAACCCCTGAATGCCACATTTAAAATCTTAAATAATTCTCTGAAACATGAAATGTCTGAATACTAAATATGCAACAATCACAATTCAGAAAAAACTTCCTTAAGTATTATTTATTAAGAACTCAAATACAGAAACAACGAAAACGTGTTCTCTACTTCAGTATTTCCATTTTATGCTACTGTATACTTTTACTCCTCTACATTTATTTAACAGCTATAATTACTCTGCAAATAAAGAATTCACCTTAAAACATATTACATCTTGTTCACTCCCTCTTACAATAAAGCAGTGTCTAGTTTAGACTCTTTATCATCTTCAGGATGTTTTTAAGGTTAACCAAAAAGAAATTTCACCTCTAAACTTCTCACATGTTTAATTTCAATAACTGTTTGAGGCTCAAAGAGATGAATTATTAATTCATTAGAACCAGAACCAGGACTGAGAGGGTCAGACTGTCAGACCCTGCTACAGTAAAATTTGAGTTTTTTTAAAGGAAGTCTGGTGCTCAGAAACACTACCACTTTAGTCCACAGAGGGCGCCAGAATCAACACTAAATGAAAGTTCCTTGTAGTAGCGTCTCTCATTACATTACATTACATTACAGTCATTTAGCAGATGCTTTTATCCAAACCGACTTACAATTCAGAGTCCATCACATTTCTACACTGTAGGCACAGCTACGGGAGCAATTTTGGGGTTAAGTGTCTTGCTCAAGGACACATCGACATGCGACGAGCAGAGCCGGAGCCGGATTGAACCGCTCACCCTCTGATTGAAAGACGGCCCTGCTATCCATTTAGCCACAGTCGCCCCACGTGGCGACCCCTCAGATTTATCTGGTGACCCTTTGGAGGGGCCCAACCCCTAGGTTGGGAACCACTATAACTAGCTAACTGTATATCATTAAAGTAGCTGCAACAGTAACATGCTGCTTTAACATTGATGGAAGTGTATGTTGTGAAGGTAGGATTTTGGACGCAGTACTTTTACATGTATTTGTTGTGGTAGCAGTACTTTTACTTCAGTAAAGTATCTGAGTACTTCCTCCACCGCTGTCCTCTCAGTGTGTCCTCTCTCTCTTCCCTCGGCTCAGTGGGCAGGAGACAGTTTGTGAACTTCGACTGCTCTCAGGTGGCCAGCGGCGTCCTCGGATGTGGGGGAGAAGATCTGCACACCGCCGTCTTCAAACACCACCTCCGACAGCTGCTGCAGAGAGCCACCGGGGGCAGCAGAGAGGGGAGCTCTGCTGCAGAGTCGGAGGAGGGTGAGACACACACACACACTGAATGCTAACATGCTAATGTGCTATCGTGGTACTGTAGAAGTTATGGACCACTGATGCAACAGTTCTAAAGAGACATTTCAGTCAAAAAGTTTGGACGGATGCAGGTGCATTCATTAAAAGACCACGTCTTCACTGTGGTCTCTGCAGGTCCCAGACTGACGGCTGCTCAGTGTGTTGAAGGGATGGCTGCTGGACTCTATGAAGAACTCTTCACCTCCATAGTGTCGCTTATCAACAGGTACAGGTCAACTCTGTCTCCTATAAAATTATGGTCGGAAAATGTATTTTCTCCCGGATAACGGCTGCAGATTTAAACAGTTTGAAACACGTGGCTAACGTTGTAAAAATCGTTAAATACGATTGTAGCCACGATGTAAAATATGTTTTATGATTTATTAACGTTTCGAGCCGTCCATCCTCGTCCACTGCAGGTAACGTTAGTGATGTCAGACAGTTTGATCAGAAGAAGAGGATAATCAATAAGAGATAATTGTTTAGATAAGCATCTGAAGCTGGAGAACAGGGCTCCAGATAATAAGCAGATTTTATTTACAATAAATGTAATAACAGGTTGTCTTAATTTGATAAAGTGCATTTATTATTCAGTAACCTTCACAACCTATACAATTAAGTAACATTGTTAATGCAGGACTTTTACTTGGAACAGAACATTTCTACACTGTTTCATTACAATGTTTACTAAAAGTGTAACTGTAAGCGTAAATCCACCCACTGCATCATTTATAAAATGGATCTATGTGACGAGGCAAGGTGCTAACATTCTTCTATTTCATGACGTAGATTAATCCCAAACAACTCTATCTCAGAATTGGCTGATTTAAAACAGTAGATGACGTTTTGAGCCATTAACAACCATTAATTGACAATTTTTAAATATTTGGTATGAAATGTCAATAATCACAGCAGCATTGATGTGTTTCATCACTTAAAACACACATTCAGTTTCTCCTAAACTAATAGATCTGAGTATTTCCTCCACTGCTGGTTCTTCTTTTGGTCTCATGCTACATTTGTTATTGAGGAACCTACATTTTTTTGGCCACATTTCCACCGACTGACTGTCTGATGTGTCACATTGATATTTGTTGTTCACCGTTTGTTCTTGTCAACATGAACTTGTTGTCCTTCCAGTATCCGACTCATAGTGGCCATCTGTTGTTGTGTTTTGTCACTTTTGCGATCACGTGTCACGTCACATCAGCTGGTACCCTCCATAGTACATACACTGTACACACACTCCTCTTTAACATGCATACGTGTGTGTGTGTGTGTGTGTGTGTGTTTGGTGTTCAGGGCTCTGAGCAGTCCTCAGCTGACGTTGGCCTCGGTGATGGTGGTGGACGCGCCGGGCCTCAGGAACCCGAGACACTCTGCGGAGGAGCGAGCCGCCAGCTGGTCCGAACTCTGCCACAACTACCTGCAGGAGCGTCTGCTGGAGCAGTACCACACACACACCTTCACACACACACGGGAGAGATACACACAGGTAGACCAACCACTGATTCATGGCTATGGTTTGGTTGTTTCATGTGTGTTTGCTCCACAGACGTGTTCAGAAAGTAATATTATAGACTGTATTATATGACAGCTCTTTGACATCAATTTACATGCAAAGCAGGTTTTAGTATTTGATAGTACGTATTATTTAAATTAAATACAGCCAAATTTACTTTAAGTTTCCTTTTAGTTTGTTGTTGTCCGTCGCCATCTTGTTTTTGTCCGTCTCGTTTCTGTCTGTCGCCATCTTGTTTTTGTCTGTCGCCATCTTGTTTTTTGTCTGTTGCCATGTAGGTTTTTGTCCTATCACCATCACTTCAGCATTAGTGTCAGCATCACAAAATGATGTCCTCTTAAGTCACATGCTCAAACAATAGAGTGATAGGCGGAGTATGTCTTTGTACTAATAACTACATTTACACAGATCATAACATACCTGGTCCCAAGAGATTCGTACCTTTTGTTCCACCATTAAAGTAGTTTAGAGTCCACATTAACACCGTCCCACTCAACACAACTCATAGATGCAAAAAGCAAACTGATTAAGTGCTTAGAAGATGAGGTAGCTTATAGACATTTGTTCTTAATGTACTCCTAATGTGGGCTACTTCCCCAGTGATAGTTTGTTCTCCAAAAGTACAAAAGCTTTTCCTTTTTTTTCTGGCAGTGAACGGATTACCGAGCCCTCGAGGCTTCTGGTGCTCACAAGAAACCAGACAGCATCAAACCCACCACACCCTATAAAGAAACACACTTCTCCATTCTGCTGCTGTAAAATGTGGAATCATTTCCCTTCTAGTCTAAAAGTGATCACGTCAAACAGCAAGAAGAACTTTGTTGTTTCTGTACAGACCTTTGAACAGATTGGACCCAAATTACTTTAGCGACCCTCTGACTGTTCATCGAGCATTTTATGAAATTTGAATTAGCAATTAGCAGAGTTGTACCTTTACATCCGCCATTAAAGTTGCTTCCAATAGTTTTAGGGACAAATTTATGCCAATTCAAGTACAATGAATGTGGATGGTCTAAAGGGCAAAAACAGCTCCCTTAATGTACAAGCTTTCACTTTTCATTATCGTTTTACCTTTTTTCTGGCAGTGGATGAATCAAGGATTCTGCTCACCAGAAACTAGATCGTCCCAGAGGAGTTTGATGGTTCATTTCTTTGTTGATGATCACATCAGAAAACGTTTTCTGGCCTTGAAAAGATGATTTCTTCTCAGTCGTGTGTAGTTATATTTTGCAGAGAGCCAGGAAACATGTCGGTTTGAAAAATAAATCATCAGGCCTTGTTGTGATTGGATCCCTCTTTGGGATTCCGTACATGGGGTTGTGACTTAAATATCCCAAATACTACAGTTGCAGATGAGGAACTTATTAGAATTATTGCTATTCAGTGTTCCTTCTTTTTAAATGTTATCAAGGCAGAAAAAGGCAACAGCACTACATTGATAGTTGCACGATCATTTAGTTTTAGATGAATAATGAGTAATATGTCTTCACACATCTGGTGTCTGTCGCCATCTTGTTTTTTGTCCGTCGCCATCTTGTTTTTTGTCCGTC